TACTTGTGATCTCTGTCTGTCAAATAAATAAATAAAATCTTTAAAAAAAATTTGTCAGAGAGAGAGCAAGCAGAGGGAGCATCTGGCAGAAGGAGAAGTAGGCTCTCCACTGAAAAAGGAGCTCGATGCGGGGCTCGATCCCAAGATCCTGGGACCATGACCTGAGCCAAAGGCAGACGTTATCGACTGAACGACCGAGGTGTCCCCAAGAGCCAGATTTTTTTTTAAGTTAAATTGAGATGAAATTAATTTGAACAGAATATTTTATTTAACCTGATAGATGCAAACTACTGTCATTTCAACATGCAATCAATATAAAATTATTAGTGAGACACTACATTTTTGTATACTGTCTCTTGAAATCTAATATGGGTTTTAATATATATCATATATTTCAATTTGGATTAGCCACATTTCAAGTGCTCAACAGCCACCCATAGTTAGTGGTTACCATCCTGGACAAGGCAGTTTTATACAGTATTTTGTTAAATCCTATAAGATGACTAAGAATAATAGCAAAATTTTGAGTGGCAGACATTCTGGAAGGACCATCTCATCTATCCTCCTATCAACCCTCATCTGGAGATGAGGAAATGCATCTAGAAAGGATTATGACTTACTGTCCACCCACCGCTCCTCAGTGGCAGGGCTGGGTCTGGAATTCCCGCTCTGAGGCTACCAGGTCAGGCCACTGATTAACTGGGTGGTCTGGAGCAAGGTAGTCCTCTGCATCTGAGTTCCCTCTTTCACAGAATGGGAAGAAAGTTGCAGGGGATCAGCCACAGTGAATCTTCTTAATTATTTCCTAGCATCTGGTGAGCCTGGCTCTCCTGTTCCCACCTGTGAGGACCTCAGGTTTACAGGCTTCCTTCTGTTATCGGAACAGTGGGCTCTTCCCACCCCAGACTTTCGCGTCTGGGGCTGGCCGGACTCCGAACCTCCAAACCTTCAGCAGGATGGAGCCCCTCCCACACCAAAAGCAGTGCTGCTTTTTCATTTGAGTTTCGTCTATTTCCGGAAGGGTTCAGCTTCAGGTTCTTGATGCTTTTTTGAAAGAAAAGAAACTTGTTGTCTGGGACTCGGTTTTAATTTTCTGTCTTCTTTGTTCTTAGGCATGTTGTAGAAAGCTCCCCTCTCCCAAGGATACTCTACTACATATTTCCATAATTTTCCTGCTCTCCCTCTCCACGAAATGCAAAGAAAGTAACTGTCAATTTTTTTGCATATATAAATTTTAACAGCCCATACATGTCAACTAATCTTTTATCCAGGAAGGAAATGCTTATTTCAAGTGATTGAAAGTTGAAATGCTTAGGTTTTCATTCTTGTTGTGTAATGGAGCACTGTGTGGACATGCTACATTATGATTAGTTTATCAATCCCCAAATCCACTAATTCTAATGAGTGCCTACTATGTGCAAGGGCAGAGTCCCTATTTTCAGGGAACATATCTTTTACCAGGAAAAGTAAGGCAAATGTTCAACCAAGAACAGCACAAAGTAGATAAAGTGTGCCAAGTGCCTTAAGAGGAGGGGTGCAAAGTACAGTTGACCCTTGCCCAACACAGATTTCAACAGCACGGGGCCACTTATCTGTGGATTTTCTTTCTTTCTTTCTTTCTTTCTTTCTTTCTTTCTTTCTTTCTTTCTTTCTTCTTTTTTTTTAAATAAATGTAGTACAGTACTCTAAATGTATTTTCTCTTCCTCATGATTTTTTTAATAACATTTTCTTTTCTCTAGCATACTTTATTCCAAGAACACCACATATGAAACATAGACAAATTAAATGTGAATTGACCTTTTATGTCATCAGTAAGGCTTCCAGTGAATAGTAGGCTCTTAGTGACGTTTTGGGGGAGTCAAAAGTTACACGTGGATTTTTGACTGCACGGTGGGTCAGTGCCCCTAACCCTTGTGTTGTTCAAGGGTCAACAGTACGAAGCTCAAATATTTGGTTTGGGGTAAATCAGAGAAGGTTCCACAGAAGAGTTGCCTTTCAGAATGGACCTTGATAGGTAGGGTTTCAGCAGACAGAGGAGGCAAGAAAAGCATTTGGGGAGAAGAGGCGCCTGTCCCTGTCTCCCGCACTAAAAGCAGGAGGAAGGTGGCGCCTGGGTGGCTCAGTGGGTTAAAGCCTCTGCTTTCGGCTCAGGTCATGATTCCAGAGTCCTGGGATCAAGCCCCACATCGGGCTCTCTGCTCGGCGGGGAGCCTGCTTCCTCCTCTCTCTGACTGCTTCTCTGCCTACTTGTAATCTCTGTCTGTCAAATAAATAAATAATATCTTAAAAAAAAATAAAAGCAGGAGGAAGCATAGGAAGCAGCACGTGGCTTGGTTTGAGGATTACATAGGGATTGCTGGGATTATGTAAGGATGTAAGGCAGTTTGGCAAACTCTGCATGAGTGTCACAGTCCCAATCCTCCACCCATGGGAGACGGCATTAATTAATCACAGCCCACACCTTTCCAACCAACCTCTGGAGTTCCTTCATGAGATGAGATCAATTTGCCATCCCTGGTGCAAGAGGGCAGAGATAAGCGAGGTAGAGCCTTGAATACCGTGTTGACTAGTTAGTAGTTAATTGGATAGGCAATGGGGAGCCATTAAAGTCTTGTAAGCAGGGGAGTGACATGGTGGGAAATGAGAGCTGTAGTTCAGGGTAATTAACTTGGAAGTGTTATTTGGGATGGATTAGAATGGTTATAAGACTAAAGGCCAGTTATTTGGAAGGTTACTGTAATGGTGTAGGTGAACAATGTCTGGAACTGGAGTGGAGGCTGTGGAAAGGAAGGTCACAGGTCACAGAGGTAGAATTTAAAGCACTTGGCAAGTATGTGAAAGATGTAGAGAGCTAGGGCCAGGGGTGAGAGAGAGGAGTCAAAGCTCACTTGGAGGTTCCCAGGAATTAGGTCGGAATAAGAGAAAAACTAGTGGTATCAAGAGGGAAGCCTGGGATTGGCAAAGAGATAGGGAGAGTCCTGGAGAATTTGGGAAGGGAGAGAACAGTCTGCAAAAAATGGATTTAGGCTTATCTCTTCTACAAAGTATAGATTTTCTAAGCCATCACCTGTCAGAGAACTCAGTAGTGCAAAGTAAAATAACCATTTTTAAGCAAACATTATTGCCCTTTGTCAACGAGCAGAGACTAAGGAAGGCTTCCATCTTTCCAAATATTTGAAAAATTGGAAAGCCTTAATTAGTAAGCAGACAAGGGGCATGAGGGAAGGAAAATATATAAACCTAATCACTGTGCTTTCCAGGTTTCAAATGCTTCCCCAATCTGGGTAATTTATACTTTAGTAACAATGATTGACAGTCAAGGAATGTATCTAACTCACTTTTATTTTTCCCTTGGGGAAAGCACTTTCGGTCCCAATTGTTTTAAATCGCAGAAGCAGTAATTGTTTTAGAGAGTTAGGAGGAATGGCTTTTTGGAGCTGGAATTTGCCGCTGAAGGGAATATGGATTCTGTCTTAATTGACTAAGGTCACTAGGGCCATTTTCAGGAAGGTCTTTCCAGGGTGAATAAATACCAGCTTAGTCAAAGGAGAACAGGAAAGGAACCAGTTGAAGGCTCAGGGGAATAGACTTAACCAGAAAAATGTTAATGAGTTGCTACTGGTACCTAAAAAGGAGCCGGGGATATGTTTTGAGCCACTTGTATCCCAAATAGAATTATTGGTGAAATTTAATATGAAAATTGTTTAAAATATTTTAAAATAAATATGGAGCAGTGGATATATTTTAAGATATTCACTTCTCCAGAGGCCCTTGCTTATTTATGAAACTGTGCACTTTGATATATTTGTTTACTTAGAAAAGTCAAGAGTGACAAGCTAGGTCAATTACATCAAGAACATTATTAACAGGCTAACCAATTGTAAATGGTGTGAAGGCTGTTCTGGAAATCTGTGCTTTGATGTATGGGGGAACCCACACATCTGATTTGGGATGGAGGAGACAATCGGGGCATTGTTTGTAGGCGCCAACAGACAGGCTAAAGCCAGGGATCCTTGCAGACTGGATTAAGGTATCAGAACCGTTCACATCTCATTTACATCACTCCGAAGAGTGGACCACAGGTTTTGTTGATTTAACACACAGACCACGGCAAAGAGCATTGTGTATTTGAAATCAGACCAATATCAGTAACAGTAACACAAATCATGTGTGAAGTTTGGCACATGGAGGTTCATCTTAAGGAATTATCTAACAAGCCCCCCTACCCCATTTTTAAAAAGCCTTTTTCCAAACTAGGAAGGTAGAAAAAGGAAAATGTTCCCTACTTCTTTCTCCCATCCCAACCCCCTAAATACACATATTTATGCCACCTTCTGGTATATAATAATATTTTTTATTGTCAAACTTTGTGAGCTTTCTGAAAGGAAGGTGGGGGTGTATGTTAAAAATGTACTGATTTCATCAGTATTTGGGCAGTCAGAAAGAATTGGTGAATTGAGCATTGAGACAGAGAAGTCAGGCTAATACCACCTGAATGTTTTCTACTCATTTAGTTTGTATTGTCCCTTCATATTGGAGTTTGGGGTCAAGGTAATATTGATGCAATTCTCTACTTTCCTTTGATATTATTAAACACCTACTATGTGATGGGTGTGTTTCAATGGAAGGGAGGTGCAGAATGATGTCTACAATGATGTGACTTATTAAGAGCTGTTAATTATCTGAACTTTATCACCAAGACATTATTAATGCCTCTCCAGTATATCTTTTATGGATGAGACTGCAGGTTTAATAGTAAGATTACCAGTGGGAATTGACAATTAGCAGCCACACAGAACTAGATGCAGTACGCCATATTACAACCAGCTTAGATAGTCATCAACCAAACAGGCCAAAGTTTTCTTCAGTAGAAACTGCCCTGCCAAGTGGTTTCTGGATCCTTCTCAGAGAAAGCAGGGAAGGGGCTGAAAGCCACCTCTTTCAGCCACACCAGAAATTGGCTGTACCGGGCAATTCAAGACCTAAAGCCTCTTTTAGACACAGACGTATCAAACCAAGTCTGGAAACCCACTGGGCGTCCCATCCCGAAGTAAAAAGTGCCACGTCCCCCCATCCTCCTCCTTCCTTGGGGTGTTGGGCCAGGTCGAATTCCTTTTTAGTTTCTCCTTAGTTCTGGGGTGGGCTGGCAGGGAGCTACCTGCGATTCCCCAACGTGGATGATCGCATTTGTCTCTTCTCAGTCTGGCTGCAGATGGGGACGAGTGCTGTTCCCGAGAGATTCTCAGAAGTAGGCACAGGATCATCTCGCTGATCCTCGTTTCTGTCTCTGGGCTGGGCAAAGGGGAGGATCGGGGCAAGAGAGCCTCTCCCCTCCAACCCCCCACCCCGCCCCAAAATTGGCAGCCAGTCGGTGGCTCTCGGTCTGGGGTCTGGAGGGTGGGGAATGTGGGTGGGGGGGCCGGCTGGAGAAGCTCTCGCTAGCGCTGCCGGTGGCCAGACCCGCCTCCCAACCCCTCTCGGGCGCACACTTACGTCCACCCAGACACACTCCGCGCGCTCCCTCGCGCTCTCGCTAGCCCGCCGCCGCCGCCTGCTCTCTCCCTCCAGCTCTCCCCGGTCTCTTTCTCCCCCCCCCCCCTTTTTTTTTTTTTTTTTTTTTTTGGTACCATAGAGTTGCTCTGAAAACAGAAGATAGAGGGAGTCTCGGAGCTCGCCATCTCCAGCGATCTCTACATTGGGAAAAAACATGGAGTCAGCTCCGGCAGCCCCCGACCCCGCCGCCAGCGAGCCGGGCAGCAGCGGCGCGGACGCGGCCGCCGGCGCCAGGGAGACCCCGCTGAACCAGGAATCCGCCCGCAAGAGCGAGCCGCCCGCCCCGGTGCGCAGACAGAGCTATTCCAGCACCAGCAGAGGTAGGAGGCTGCGAGAGGGGCTGAGGAGGGGGCGGCGGGAGCCGGGGAGCGGAGCGGGGGCCGGCCGGGAGCGGGCGCCCGGAGCGCGGGGTCTGGGGCCGCGCGCGAGCCTGCAGCGGCGCCCCGAGCCCGGGGAGCCCCCTTCCCCTCCCCCCTCCGCCCCCCAGAAATGTTGCAAACTTTTGCAGCCGGTTCTCGGGTTGCGGGAGGAGAGGGGGGCGGGGGAGGAGGCAGGAGGGTTGACAGCCGGCGGGCTCACCCCCTGGCTTTGATTTTTCTGCGAAGAGAGGAGGAAAGCCGCGTAGTCCAAATTAAATACGCTCCCCCAAAATACGGAGAACCGGAGAGTGGGGGCCCGGGAAAGAAACTTTTAAAGCGGCAGTGTCCTTTTAAGAAGAAAAAAGAATCCGTTTATGGCCACCCTCCTCCCGCTTTACCTTTTCTCCTCTTGACAGTTTCGGCCCTGGCTGCCCCAGACGGGGTGTGTTTTCGGTCCCCCGCAGAGCTGAGGGGGTGCGGGAGGAGTGAGCGACCTGGGAAGCCCCGGGGGTGGAGAGGGGGCGCTCCTGGATCTGGGGGCGACGTGGGCACCTTCTCTGGAACGCGACGGTGGGCTTGGGATTTGGAGGAAGGGCTGGAGGAAGGGGGTACAGGAGCGTGAGGTGCTCGCTAAGTTGTCTGGCGAGCGCGAAGAGGGGAGATCCTCAAGTTTGCAGACCCGGGGTTCGCAGCCGGGCGCCCAGGCTGGCGGGGGGCGTGTGCGCGCCAGCGCGCGGAGGGCGGTGGTGCTATGGGGCGCTCCACGCGCATTCGGAGTGAGCGGCTGCAAAAGCAAACAAGCAGAAACAGAAAGCTGGAAATGCACCCAAACTTATTTCTGCCCTGGGATTCCTTCCCTCTCTGAGGTTCAAGCGTTTCTGCAAGAACCTGGGAATGGTCAGCGAGAGTTGGATGCTGGTTGGATAGTGCGAGAGATGCCCCCCCCCAATCCCCCGAGCGATTTTTACACTTCATTTTGGAGCGTTTGTGCTGGGGGGGGGGCGGGAGACTCCATTGCCCCCTCCTTGCCTTTTCCTAAAGTCGAGTGTTGGGGAAAGCTCACTCTCTCTTTCTTAAAGGTGTCGGAACCTGATGTGGGGGTTTATCTTGGAGGTGGGGGATTATTTATTTGATTGCGCCTGGAGTTTGCAAAGAACAGGAGGAAGCTACGGCTTTAATTACTGTTGTAAATAATGTATAAATCACGCCTGTCACTCCGGAGGAAGCGGGCTCGCGCGAGCAGCCCAGGGCTGGGGATCAGGAGGATCTCCAGCCCGGGCTTGGGCACCGGCCCAGCGCGCCCCCTCCTCTTGACACTGGGCTTCTGGCGGCGATTGGGGAGGGCTGGAGAGAGGCGAGTGGGGGCCCGGGAGCCGCTCCCTTCCTCTCGATGTTATAGTTGGAGGTAGGAATATGGCTGATCATGTGCTGGCTGTTTTACAGTATTCATCCCCCCCCCTCTTAGCCACACCCCCTGTCCGGGCGCTTTCCCATTCACGGAATTCGAGTACAGTAAAAGCCATCAGGATGACACACACGAAAAACATTTAATTAAAGGCGATTTCCGAGGAGTGAACACGCGGAACCGCGGTTTCAGCGGGAGGGGTGTGCAGCAAGGGCTAGGAAGGGAGGGGGATCAGGGCCAGGGGCCGGGTCCTGCCGCCAGCTCCGTGAGTTTGTGTGTGGAGAGCTTTTGGCTGCAAAGAGTATATTTAGACCCTGAGACGGTGGATTTGGAATGCGAGCGGGTTATGTAACAGGGTTAATCAGAAACACTGGAGAAAATCCCCTTCATGTGTTTCTGAGTTTTTTTTTTTTAAGGGGGGGATAGGATATAAGAAGCCACACTAATTTGTGGTTTGTGCTGTCACCCCCCTCTCTCCCGTAACCTACCCCTCCCCTTTGTTATTAGCATCTTCAGGTGTCATTCTTGCCAGAAGGTGTTCTTGCAGGAGATCAGGGTGGCAGGCTGCAGAACCAACTAACAAATCCGTAACTTGCTGTTCTTGCAAATTATATAACGTTGAGGCATTCAGTACCACTAGCCCCCCCAGGCTTAGCAAAAAGGGGAGAGGGACAAAGTAGGGGTGGGATGCACCCTGTACAACTGACCTGTTGACCTTTGTCCCCTTGTCCCCTAGAGGGTCACCGTCTGCTCACTCTCCTTTGAACCAACCCCTTATCCATCTCTCCGGAGATTTACTAGGGGGAGGGAGAAGAGGTAAGGCCCAAACACTCAACTCACATCCTGCACGCAGGCACTAGGTTATATAACAGTCTGAATGGAAAAAGGAAGGTCAGAGATGGAGGCATCCTTTAGCTAACACAGCAGTAGTAATAGCTTCCAGAAATTCTGTGTATTTGCAGACTTTAACCTCAGATGTAGTGTCTGCTCCTCAGGGATACCAATCTTTGTGTGTGTGACCTAGGGAGAAAAAGAGAGAAAGTGTAGGTATGCCTGGTAGATGAGAGTGATTTGAAAATGGGAAATGTTTGGGTTTTCAGATGATGTAATGGAGTTGGCAGAATATGCAAGTCGGCTCCCAGAGTGTAAGCAGCAAGAAAATTGGAGCTGGCATCCAGTATTAATGTTGCATAAATTACAATATCGGAAAGAAATTAACCTACACACTAGGTGATTACGCCTTTTTAATACTTAAAACAGAAAGGCACACAACTCAAAAGGAAAAGCAAACATCATCACCTTATAATTAGCATTTTCAACCTCAAGGAGGATTGAATGGAGTTCTTGGCATTGGGTGAAATGGGAAGCTTTTGGATTTGGGAGATGCTTTCCAGAGAGGTAGCAGGGTTCGCTTCCAGCCAACCAGTGTTTGCAGTCCCCAGAAACTGTGGTCTGGATTCTCATGACATTGAGGTGACCTCATGAGACATTACCTAGGTAGACTGGAAGCTGTTGCTGAATGCCAAACTCCTGGGAGTCCCCGTGTGAATGGGCTGCGTCCCCTTAGTGCCTGCGCTACCAGAATCAGATGTGTGACTTTGTAATCTGAAAGATGGACCTCCCCCGTGCTTAAAACTAGCAGGGAACATTAGCAGTTGTAATGAAACTGTCCCGTTTTCTGGGTGGTATTAACGATGGCTGGTGTTCAGTACCATCTCTACAACACAATGGAAGGCAAAAAAGAAAGGCAAGAGGCAACATGGGAAGTAAGAATGAAACGGAAAAAAACCACAGCGAATCTTAATTTAACAAGGCTTTCAGGGACTTCAGGGAGCTGTAAGCATTGTGACATAACTATTATTAAAACCCCTTTTCCAGAATCTCGTTATTCTATGCATGCGAGAAGCTTACATATTTTACTTTCCGAAAGTTATCGTTACAGGGCTGTGTGGCACGCAGTTGGTTTGGAACACCCATGTGTAAGTTGAAGACTTTTAGGGCAGGCCGACCTAAGGGAAAAATCGAAACCAAAAGATGGGATTAACATTGAAAAACTCAGTTGGGTTGAGATTGAACCCCCTGGAGGCTCAGTTTAGATTGACTGAAAATCGGTTAACAAGGCCTGTAGTTTATTTGAAGCCCTGAGGACTTCTACAACCACATAACCAAAGTGCCTGGCCTCCACTCCTCCCCTTCTGTCTTGGCTGATTCACTTTCTGGTAGGTACCCTTCTTGCCTGGCAGTTTATAACCTTTTCTAGATCAACTTTTCTAACTCAGGCTCTCCACAGTGAACAAGTGATGCCCCATAGTTTGAAAGAGCTACTGGCTAGGATAAAATCCTTTGCCAGAGGGATGGAATGATTGTTTTTTAAACTAAGGGACTTTTAATTTTCTGGTAAATTGATCATAAAAACCTTTATAATTATACCCTGAAAAAATGGAATAATTTTAGAAAATGCATTTGGTGATAGGTATGATAACTTTTCTGTTGCTTACCCCTTCTTCCTTAAAATGAATTGAATTATTAATCCAGAAGTCAAATCCTGAGTGGTTAAAACATTTATAGCAGACTCTTTTTATGTTAGTCACTTGCTGGAATTTTCCAGAACCTACTAGCATCACGAAGAGCCTTGGCTTTTTCTAGAAAATGCCTCCATTTCCAAAACTGACATACGGAGTCTGCGTGGAATCCCCTCCGCTGAGACCCTTCATCTAGTGTTTTTAAGATAGCAGAGGTCTTGGCGGTCAGGGGTGCGGCACACACTGCTAGTTCCACACATCCTGCTCCTAGGCAGGATGTAGGGATGTTCGAGAATTTTCATTTGCTGTAATTGTGCCCCCAGGGGAAACATTCTGAGGATTTTGGGTGACAGCTGAATTGCTTTTGGAAGCAAATCCGTGTCCACAGTTAACCTTTGGAATGCACATGAGACAAGCCCATGGCTGCTTCTCCTTGGGCCACACTCCTGTCACTTCTGATAGCAAGATGCACATTTTCCCATTTTTGCTTCCAGAAAGTTGTGGTGTGTTGTTGGAAGGGCAGACTTGAGTTGGATGTCACTGAAAATTCTTTTTGTGTGGTATGGTTTCTTACAGCGTAGGCCGCTTTTTCTGAGAGTGCTCCTCCTCTCCGCACTCATCGTCCATCTACTTAATGAATCGTGCTTCTGTACTTACGTATTCGTAGAAGCAAGATACATAATGACACTTCAGGTGTCTGGGGAAAAATTATAATATGACTGCCCTGTGTGCCAAAGACTAAAATTTTATAGAAAACCCAGCTTGCTTCTTTTGACATAACCTGCTGCTTACCCTCTTTGTCTTCCTTGAGCCATTGTTCAGGTACTCCGAGGTAGACACCGTCCACTCCCTCAGGGAGATTCCTGATCAATCATCCTAGATTAGTGATAGATTCTTCGGGAGCAACAAGAGTCCGCTTTGAAAGGCCTTAAGGTACCAGAGTAAACCTAACCTAGAATGTGGAGTATCTTTCTGAATATGAAGACTATCATCCTTGTTGAAAATTTAGCAACAGTGTCTCTGTCTCTTTTTCTCTGTATTGTTCTCTCTTCTATCATTTAAAAAAATGTGGGTATTTTTGTTGTTGTTGGGGGGAGTATTGTGTGCGTGCCTGTGTGTGTGTATGTGTCTGTTTGTGTGATTCATAATGGGAAGTGTTGGTTTGGAAACGAACTGTTAAATTTTTCACCCACCTTACTAAAACGTATGTTAAGAGAAATAAAAGTGAATCATTTTGAATAATGCTTTAAAAAAATTCTCCAGATAATCAGTGTTCAAGTGTTGATTAATATACAGTAAATCATGATTTTTCTATAAGGGTACCAAGGCATTACTAATGAATTAGTTTTTCTGGCTAACAGTAGATTAACTGAATCTTTTCTGTCTTTTTCTTTTTGAATATGTTTCTTTTAAATGTGCTGGTCCCCTTTCCTACCCTAGAAAGAACATGGGGAATGTAATCAAATCTTTCTTTGAGGTTTGAGGATCTTACAGTGGCACAGGGTCACTATTCTGAGGATGAATTCTGATTGTGCATTATAGAACTGTGAATGGAGACATGCCAGAGATTGGACTAAATCTGCCCTGATCCCAGCTTGGAAATTGTTTTCTTTTTCTGTTAAATCCTCAATATCAGTATGTTTTGTTATTTGCCTTTCTTGGTCTCTAGCTCGCAAGGAGCAAAACGGAAATTCACTTTAATTTGTTGATTCTGGTTAATTGAGGTTTTTACTTTCTAGGAAAATTTCAACCTGAATCTAGAGCCTTTATTCTTCATCCTTAACAGAGGATGTGAAATCATTCTCAGATGTTTAGGAAGACTATTGTATTTACAAATAAGTTATGTAATGTATTTCCATAGCATTATGTAACTTCTGGTAGATAGAAAATGATGGGTAATTTTACCTCTTCCTTAGATACATTGAGAGGGTATCATAAATCCTAGAAACTAGGAAATTCTAGGGTTGGTGGGAAGACTTTCAAGAA